ACCAGGGTAACTGCTTTTTCCTCCTTTTGGGCGGGCCGTCCGGGGGGGTGGGGCAGCCGCCCAGCGCGAGGCCTGCTTCCTCTTCTTCGAGAAGAAACAGCCCATAATCCGCTCCTTCGCCTTACAACATGCACGCCCAACAGACACCCTCACGCCACAGCGCCTCTCCCCAACCAGCCCCAGCGGCTCCCGCGAAGGAAGTATAAGCGAATATGCCCCGCCCTCAACTTGAAGCGCCTGCTTCCGGCTTCTACCTCACCCGTTTCCCATGGCGACTGCGGCTCCTCCCTCCCGCCATTTCTCCCAATCAGCATCGTGTCAGCGCTCCAAAGGTTTCCGTCAATCTGGTTCGCTGGCTAATAACGAGGCACGACGTCGCCCGCGCTCCTCGCCGTCGGTCCCGTGGCTGGAAGCCGGGGAAAGAATTGTCGGTAAAAAGAGCGAGGCGCCGCCGCCGCCGCCATTCTGCGCGCGCCGTGGTTTGTTGCTGTTGCTGGCAGAAAGGGGAGGAGGCGCGGGAAGGGGCGGGGCGGCGAGGGCGTTTTTACACATAGGCTCAAATATGCGAATTGAACCCTACGCTGCTGCTTGAGCCTCGAGAAGGGTGTGCGCACAGGCTACGCGGTGCGGAAAAAGGCATTCTGCAGATGCACAAAGACCGGACAGTATACAAGGAATGTTACCAGCCTTTAAGATCACCTGCACGTGAACCTTTATCCGAGTGGAATCCTGCTTTCCAGGGTGTAGTAAAGTATGGTGGATTATGCTATGAACTGGAACGATCGGCTGTTCGATTATGTACTTACAGCATATCCTATAAAGATTTAATCTCCGTCTGGAAAGCTCCAGCAAGTTTTCAGTTGCCAAGGTGAATGTTCTATTCTGGTTCTCTTTACAGTATACCATTTTACTGTTAGACAAACTTTTTTTTTATTGCACATCCCAAAGCCGAATGGGCAAAATGCAGTTTGTATGCCCCCTTACTTGGGAAGAGGTTTCCACCGAATGTAATGGGACTTCTAAGGAAACAAAAGGTTGCTCTATAAAGATTGTTATGATAAACGTTAGCATTCAGCCCAGAGTTCTCACTTGAGGCACAAATGACCAGGCTCAAATTATCCTACTTTGGACACATGTGAAGAACTAGCTCTCTGGAGAAGGCTTTAATGCTGGGAAAGATGGAAGGAAAGAGAAGAGGATGACCAGCAGCAAGGTGGATGGACTCAGTCAGAGTGGTGATGGGTGCGCCATTGGAAGACTTGAAAGACCAGGTTAGGGACAAATCATGGAGAAAAATCTATGGTTGCTAAGAGTTGACAACATCTGGATGGGGCATAATCAATCACTCAATACCAGCATAGTTTTTTGTTTTGTACCTTCAAGTCAATTTTGACTCTGGCAGTTGCCCAAGTCCTGCAGTTTTCTTGGCAAGGTGTTCTGAAGTGGTTTGCCCGTGCCTTCTTCCCATGGCTGAGACAGTGACTGGTACCTGTACAAAATTTCAGAGTTAGCTTTGTACTGAAGGCAGGACTGGAACTCGCTGTTTTCCGGATTCAGCCCTGATGCTTTTAACCTCTACATTACAGAACTAAAATCCCTTGTGTATTTATTTAGTCAGTAACATCTAACTCAGCATTTTACTAGGTAACTGCTTGATGATCAGACAGCATTTTATTTATTAAATTTGTATGCTGCCTGGCTCCCAATGAGTCTGAAGTATGAAGTCCCTATTAAAAATGTGTGAAGAGTTAAGGCAGCTGTCCTGTGTGTACCTAACCAGGAGTAAAAAAAATAAAAATAAAAAAGAGGGCCTCAAGTAAAACCGCAGCTCCTGATCACAATCTAGATATATCCAAACAGTTTTCTTGCCATTTTCTTCTCCAGAGAAGGGAGTTCTCTTACTCCCCACTCTAACCTGTGGCTCTAGCATTTTCTGGTGTCTATCGTTCAAGTACCAAGGAAGTCTGATGGTTCACTTTCAAATCCAAACAAAGCCAACAAGGTACTAACCATAAGTACATCTGAATTCAAGAAATATTAAATACATATAAATGTTAAAGGAAATAATTGTAAAATATAATTCATGTCTTCTGTGGTAATTTGTTACCTGTGCTATTTGCTTGTTGAGAAGACAGCATTTATAACATGGAAATGATATTTAAAACATATTATTATTAACTTTAATAGCTTCTATTCTTTTTCTTGATGTAGAATAAACTACAGCAGCATCCTATATGAAGCAAACAGGGCACAATTTATAATTTAGTCCTATTAGAAGCAAGAGGAAGTCAACTGCAACAGCTCTTAACTGCAGTGTGAGAAAATGTGTGTCTAGACACCCCTTATTTCTCTATGATATGGGTTTTCTTCCTTTGTAAAGGAGCATCCTAAATAGGTACAGAGAAGGTGGGTTGACTACCAGAGCCAAAGGAAGGAAACAGTCATCCCAGTCTGATTGTATTGTGGTCTTAGAACTCATTCTCTATAGTCTGTCCAATATGTTCAAGGGATATAGCTATACATTGTTATAGCTGCTGATTATTCCCTTTTTGTGTGGATTAATTGCAAGATAATCCAAAAGGCCTACTTAATTTTCAGCTAATGAGAGGAAGTAATCTCTTGATCAATTGTGACCTTTCAGTTCTTGAAATTAGAATTCCATTGCAGCTGATGAACTCATAGTCGGATCGGATTGAAAATGTAGCCTAGGTGATAAATAGTTTATGGATCTGCTTTTGTATTATCTTTATTATCTCATGTTACCAAGCATGTGGTCCGGTACCTTAGGTCCTGAGAAAAGAAATTGCTAACCTTCCTTTATGATACAGAGTAGTATAAATCTGTGTGTACTTAGTCAAATAAAAACCAATTATTTCAAAGGACATGTAAACCTATTTTATGCATGTTTAATAAGTAAATGTTACTGGATTTAGTAGAACATATTTTCAGTAAATTTACATAGGATTTCCTGAGGTCTATATTGGATCATGCTACAAAGTCTTTATGCCCTAATTTTGTACTTGTTGGCATTTAAATGTATATAATTTAATCAGTTTTGAATAAAATTAATATTCATTTATTCAATTTGTATTGCCGCTCATCCACCTAACTAAGTGGGCAGTTAAAATTAACAAATAAAAATAAGTTAAAACAGATATACAATGCACAAAATAATCAATAATCACATTTAAAAAAAATAACCATGATCAGCAGCAAAATCTCACTCCAACCACTCTAAAAGCTTCTAACCATTGCCAAACCCCCAAGTACGATGGCAAAGCCATGTCTTCAGGACCTACCTGAAGGCCAGCAGGGTTGCAGTCAATCTAAGATCTGGGGGAATTATGTTCCAAAAGGCGGACACCATGGCAGAAAAAGCTGTCTTCCTGGGTCTCACCAGATGACACTCTTTCATAGATGGGACCCGTAACATGCTTCTGCCAGATCTGATGGGATGGATTGATGTAACTGGGGAGAAGTGGTCCCTCAAATAAACCTTCCTCATGCCATATAGGGTTTATAGGTCATTATGAGCACCTTCAATTGAACCCATGAATATATTGGCAACCAACAAAGCTCATAGGGCAGAGGTGTAATGTGTGCTGATTGAGGAGTGCACCTAACTGCCTACTATGCCTCATTTTGTACCAGCTGTAGCTTCTGGATGTTCTTTAAGGGCAGCCCCAAGTAGAGCACATAGTAATCCAAGAGATGATCACCATATGAGTAACTCTGAGCAGAGCCTCCCAGTCCAGGAACAAGCACAACTTCACAACATGAAATTGCACAAAGGCCCTCCTGGTCATGGCTGCCACCTGCTGTTTGAGCGGGAGTTGTAAGTCCAGGGGAACCCCCAGTTTGTGCACAAGGTCTGTTTGGGGTAGTGCCACCCCATCCAGAACCAAAGATAAGCCCTTAGAACCTGCATGCCCCAAAACCGAAAGCCACTCAGTCTTGCTAGGGTTAAACTGGAGCATGTTGTTCCCCATCCAAGCCCCTACAACCTCCAGACACTGGGACAGAACCTCAACAGCATCACTTAAATTTACTAAGAGAGGAGACATAAAGCTGGGTATTTTCAGCAAACTGACAATACCTCACCCAATGGGTTCAAGTAGATGTTAAAACAGGAGTGGAGTACCAAATCCTGCAGAATCCCACAAAGCAGGGGCAGAAGGCGGGACCTCTCGCTCCCAATCAACACTTACTGGAACCGACCCCAGTAAGGAAGGAGGACCAGCACAATATAGTGCCGCCCAACCCCAATATCCAGAGCCGGTCCAGAAGGGGGCTATGGTTGATGGTATTAAAAGCTGCTGAAAAGTCAAGAAAAGCAAGAATGGATGCACTACCCCAATCCTACTCATGCCAAAGGTCATCCAAAAATGCAACCAATGCTGTGAGTCCCATACCCAGGCCTGAAACCCAACTGAAATGGTTCCAGATAATCTGTTTCATCCAGGATCTTCTGAAGCTGTTGTACCACCACCTTCTAAAAAGGGAAGGTTGGATACTGGATAAAAGTTGTCCAGTATGGTTGGGTCTAGCAATGTTTTCTTGAGAAGGGGGTGAACCAACACCTTATTCTTGGTTAATATGACTGTTCTCAACAGACAATGCAGTAAACATCATCAATCTCTTTGAGAATTACTGCTAGAAGTCTCCAAGGAATTATTTAGTCCAGTTGATTATAATACACTATCAAGAAGCTCCCCTTCATGGATCACTGCCTTGTCGTGGCGAAGGGGCTTGCGTAACTCAGTGAAG